TCATAATAAATAACCTCCAGCTCTACAAAAAACTGATTCACAGAATTATGTGAAGAAAACTTTGATGAGTCCACAGGAAAGTAAATAAGAGACACTTGGTAATTCTGTCAGCTTTCCATCTTTTTAACACCTTAGGAGCATGCTCTTCTCAAAATGGTACTTTGTATTTCCTCTTTGGGTGAGTTATCTTGTTTTAATTAATCCACATTATTGGTTACCCTTCACAGAGGGTAATGCAGTTGAGGAATGATAGCTGTGGTCCACCTATAAAATAGATCCTAGCTAACATATAAATAGCACTGAAGCTGCTGCCACTCCTTCGGTTCCCAAAGGCTGCTCAGCTCATTCCTCACTATTGGACACTTATCCTTGTTGGAATCCCCGTTCAGACTGGAGAATGGCCTGTGGCACAGAAGCAAGCACTCTGCTGTGCTTCCTAAGCAGGAGGGGAAGCAATCACTCACACTTCATTAACTGCTGGAGCACACATCTGTTCCTAACTTCCCCATCTCACTGAGTGAGGGCAGACCCCAGAGACAGCAAAAGAAAATTAATTCCTGCCTTCTACCCCATTTTCTTCCCAAAAGCTACTTTAAGCTTTGCTCTTTATGGATAGAAACTAAGGGCCCTTGACTCAGCCAGGACTCAGCACAGTTCAGTAAGATCACAGAGTCGCATAATGGTTTGGGTTGGAAGGGAGCTTAAAGATCATCTTGTTCCAACCCGCCCCATTGTAGGCAGGGATACACCTTCCACTAGACCAGGTTGCTCAAGGTACTTATTCCCTCCTTTCCCTAGTTGACAGAGGGGGGAATAAGGGATCATTGTGACTAGATGACCTTTCTGCAGCAGCACTGATCCTTCCACTCCCAAAGTACACCAGAATTTGGCCAGTTCCATTCAAGAAAAGCTCCCACATCCCCAGAACCCATTAACTTAACCTGACACAAAACACCAGGTTCAACTCAAGTCTGAAAGGCACTTTCAAACCCAGAAGCACACGAACACAGAGCTCCTCTGCCTTCACTCTATGGGTGAGACAGGTTCAAGGCCTGGGTGGAAGACTTTACTCCACCCTGAAAATGAAGCAGGATGCTCACTGCAGAAACTGGACCTGTTTAACTCTGCAGCAGGAAAGATCACCCTGACCACAATCTAGCTTCAAATAAATGTCTTCTTGCTTTGCCTGCTGCAAAGTACAAGAGTAGGGAACCCCCTCAGAGCCAGAAAAGAGGGCTGTGGTGGCAGCTCCTGCTGCCTATGAAGGGAGGGAGAGGGAACAGTGAGTGGAAAGGGACTGACACAAGCAGAGCAGCTTTGCTGTAAGTAAAGGCTCTCCAGCTGGGGCTGCGTGGGAGGGAGCAGAGATTCTGCCAGAAAGCAGAAAGGTGCAGGATTTGTCGTGATGTGTTTATGTGGGTTTTTTTAAGCACGATCTAATTTCATTCTCCTGTGGCCCCTTCCTCATGGAGAGCTCTTGATGGTAAGAGTTCACAGCTCTTCAGACCACACTAAAGACATACTGGGCAGACTTGGGCTGTGTTAACAATCTCAAGCATTTTAGATCAACAGCAAAGAACCCACCCAAAAGGTATCCCCTCCCTATCACCAATAAGATATGTTTGGTCATTATCAGATTTCTCATCCTAAGGCAACTCCTAATGTCCTATCCTTGTGGGCCATGGAGCTGGAAATTGTATGTGGGTACATGCACGAGAAACAGAGAAATGACAGCTGAGATCCTTTTAAAGTTCTGAAAATCCAACATGATTTCTAGAGGGGAAGGAATAATAAAAACACCCGAAACAAATCAAATTCTTTATGCTTCTTTCCCATCCTTAGTTTGCTTGCACTCAATAAACAGGGGTAAGAGCTGTCTCAGAGCACAGCATTAGTATTTTTTTGCCATCATCTGCTGTACCCAGGCAGAAATGCCTCAAGCCCTGCCCCAGCTGTACATCCCCCATTGCAGTTAATGTGCTGAGAGGCACTGTTTTGGCCTAGTAATCTTGTTTACACATGTTTCCGCTGTATTTTATTTCCTGCATGCCTGTAATCTCATTTAGCAGCCTCAAAGGTAAAACAAAAATAAAATGAGATCCCAAGAACAAAAAGGAAAAGGCAGGAGGCTCACAGGAATGCCCTTGCTCATCTCACATAGGCAGTTGTGTGCTTTTTCACCGCTGCCACGTGACTAACTGCACCTCTGGACTCAGTGTTCCCCTATTCTTCTGACTGGGCAGGACAAAGCAAAGGGATTTGCAGGCAGTTAATTCAGATAATTGTGTTTTCCTGCTGCCTGTGTAACAGAAATGCCAGAGCTCTGAGGGCAGAGGATTCCACGTGTGCTCGCACGGCCTTATGTAGTGCACCGTATGCCTGCAGCTGCCCTGCTCTAGTCCCATCTGTTGGAGATTGATGTTGATTTTGCTCATCTTGCCTCCTAAAAACCCAGCAATAATAATGAATGAACTCAGTGTTCAGGGGAGTGTTGGCAGCCCATTCAGCTGTGGGCATATTGCAAGGCACGTGCTCTGCAAGGTTTCTGTGCTGCAAACACACTCACAAGGGTATGGAACTGGATCCTGTGGTTAAGTGTCCTGTAGACAGGTCTTTGCACTTGGATTTCTGTCTCTCACCTTTCTTATTGTTAGATTTTTCTGTCGTGTTTTCTGCCTGCCTTGGACTTTTTTTATCCTGTGATTACAGGCACAGAGCCCAAGCACAGGGCTAGGAGCTGGTTAGGGACAGAGTCAACTTCTAAGCAAACTCCCCTTTTCAAGTTGAAGATATTTTCGTCCAAATTTAATTTTTATTGTAAACTGCAAGCTGATGTATAGAATCAATGTGATTTGATTAGCCCAGTCTGAATTCAAGCTTTTTAAACCATGATCATATTTGCTTGTTTAGCTTTTCATCCCAGCCTGAAGCAGAAATCCTCCTCAGAAGCCCCCAGTTCTCAAAGAATGAGCAATTCCAGTTGAGCTATCTATGTGCTTTGATCCTGGCACACAACTTTGCAGGCTTTCAAATCTACCCTACCGTGGAAGGGTAGAACTCTTACTAGAGCAGCCCACATAGCTAAGATTATAATTCTTCAAATTGTTGTCATTTTTGTTGCTATCCTTTGCCTGAACCCCATTACCAGTTTTTTTCCTTGAACAAGAAATTCTGTACTGGAGCAACCTGAAATCTACTCATCCTGTGGCAGGAATGTATCTTGTTTGTGATTGAAGATGTCTATATGTGTGTACTATACCTCCAACATGGAAGAGGAGTCAGAAGCTGTCATTTTAGGGCACATGAGAAAATAACACTGCAATCAATAGTTGAGTGATGAAGGTAAGTCTTGGTATAGGTAAGTGAGACTGTCATCATGACCACTGGCTTCTCTCACAATCCTCAGACATCTCCTTGGAGGTCCCATTGCCCTTCCCCTGTGGTAAATATCCCACAGAGAAGCAGACTGAATTGGTTCAGACTTCATTGTATTTAAACTTTGCAATTTATATGATTTAAAATCCTGAACAGAGGCCAGCATTAAATGGAGAAGGACAAGAAATGTCTTCCCCTCTTTGACTGCTTTGTAAATAACTGTACTTGATGGAGTCTTACTTGCAGCAAGGATATGTTCCTGAGTGTGATAGAAAATTTCCCACTGACTTCACTAAACTTTTGAGACCCAAAGGAATATTACAGCAGTAAAAAGCTAGTATTGTACAATGGCCTCAAGTTTCTCCTGGCAGTGAACATCTCCTACCAAACATGCCAAAAAAAGCTGAGTCTCCCCAAAGCAGAAGAAACATTGAATGGTTTCATGTCCTTGCTCTGAGGGACTTTAATGCCCATGAATGCTTGGAGCACTCAGAATTTTGATAAGTTCACTCTGAGATCAAAGCCTGTGTCCAGAGACTCAAAAATCTCCTCATTAAAGCCTCAGTCCTGCATCCATCTGTGCATCCGTTCATGTCAGCTAGAACTGTACTTCAGCACAGAACTGAGCACCTCACTAAGTCTGCCCAGCAAAGGAGCACAGAAAATCAAGGGAGTTGTGAAGAATAACATGACAAGGATGAAGGTCCTCCAGTTAAGGGCCTAAGACTTGCATCAGTCCACAGATTCCCCATGTTGTGTTACTCTTTTCCGTAGTAGAGAGGATTTAAAAAAAAAACCAAAAAATCCCTTTAAAAAGGTTGTGCTTCATATAAACAAGTTTCGTTTAAATGCAGTGAAACTCTCAGGTTTTCAACGGGTAAAAATCAGAAGAGCTGAACTAATGTCAAGGAAATTAAGCTAGTTCATGCCAGCTGAGAATCTGCCTTAAAGTCTTTAGGAAGGCAGAGCCAGGTCAAAGAGCATTAAGTTCAAAGAGTAGCACGGGAGAGTACTGTCCTCACACAAACTTCTCAGAGCCCTCTCTTCTGTTATAACTCCAAATGGTGGAGCAGAACAACCTCCATCTCTTAGACCTGCTGCTTTGGTGCTCACCAGGCTCATCCTGGAGTATATTCCTTTTGAGTTACGTAATGACTGAGAGCTCTGAAAGGTTACTCCAGCACTCCTTAGAAATTTGCATATTCTATGACAAAGGACTTCTTGCAGTCGTTTATTTATCCCTGAGCTGTAGTGACATAAAAGACACGTGCAGCCTGATGAAATAAATGGGTTGACTCGTTTCACTGAACCCTCCCTTGACTCATGTAGTACCAGCTCTAAACTTAGCCATGGTGAGAACTGAAATAAAGAACGTAAACCTTTATGGAACAGGAAAATCTACTTTTCAAGTCCAAATAGCCTTAAGGAGAATTATTTCTGAGCTGACCTTACCGCTCCCTGGTAATTTTTTCCCCATCTCAAATCCCACATCAGAAGAATTTCAGGCTGTGGCAGATAGATATAGATTATATATAGATATAAATATATAGATTAACACATTTACAATTATCAGTCATTATTATTCAAACACTGTTGTCACTGTTACACCCGTAATATGGTTCTGCAGAATGGGGACATTATTTTATTGAGTGATAGACAGGGAAAAGGCATAAAGAATACAGGTAATGCACATATTTGAAATAGCAATATAAACAGAAACAGAAAAATGTTCAAGTCGAAGTCACGTGAAAAATTAGACTAATCTTCAGATGCATTCTAGACTTGTATGTACAGCATTTTTACGCTAAAAGTAGAAATACAAACTCCAGAGATGAAGCACATCTCAAGAATACAAAATAAATAAACAAAGATGAATGGCAAGAAAAGAAAGAGAACAAACACTCGAATCTTCTTCCAGAACAATGAGAAATTTCGATATGTAAGAACCATGGTAGAAGATGCCCAATTTATGACAAGAACTCATTTATTTCCAAACAGAATCTCAAATAATAAAGTCTTGTGCCGGGGAGTGAATGCAAAGCATTTTAACTTTTATCACTCCTTTTGTGGAGTTGAACAATTCCTCTACAAGAGAGACCTCCAAGCAGGACAGTGTTTCAACAATCCCAGTGAAGAAATCCAACTCACTGAGAGCGTGTGCTTGGTGGGGACATCACAGTTATTTATCCAGAAGGAAATTTTTCGGCAACTTCTAACCCAAGGTTTCTTGAGAATAAGGAATAGATAGATGGGTTGGGTTTCAGACTCTGCAGCAGTGTCTTCCTAATGGTCAGGATCTGCAGGAGGAAAGCAATCAAACTGTCATGAAAAAAGCTATAGTAAATATCAAGAGAAAAGCATTAAGCTCCACACTGGATACAAAATTATGGATTACAACTAAGTAGTGGAATATATCCCTGTCCATGGTAGGGAGGTTGGAACTATATAATCTTTAGGGTCCCTTCTAGCCCAGGGCATTCTACAGTTCTATGATTCTATGAAAGATGCACCATTATTTCACTTTCTTTTCAAGAGCATTACTATTAATTGAATGACACCAAGGACCATCGGTGTTTTTTTTCCTGCTGGAAATTTCTCCTTCATCAATTTGTTTGCATAACCAAATATCCTAGAGAAAAACAAGCATTGTTTCCACTCCTACAGTCCTTGCAAATTAGATTTTTACGGTAGGTTTTTTTTTTTCTCTCCAGAAAAATAGGTCAGTTCCCCTGCAGTAATACACACAATCCGAGGCCCACGTTTCTGCTGGGAACGAGCTCATGGAATGCAACTGCCCCTTTGAGTTGGGCATCTGCACATGGCACCGACCACTTCAGCTGGTCAAATGACTATTTGCAAGGCACAGATTTCCCCCGACTTCAGAGCTGAAGTGAAGCCTAAATACTTAAGCCTTTTTCTACTTCCAATCTCTCTCTCTGAAAATATGGACCATAAATATCCTCTCCCAGGAGATTAGTCCTGGAACCTTATTGGGCTTAAAGTTACGTTCAAACAATGTCCTAATAAAAACAGTGGCTATTGAATAGTAAATAAAGTGTGTTCCAAGGACATCAAATCATGATTACAATGACTTCCATTTTTGTAGAACTTCAAAACTAAGTGTTTCTTTCTCTACGTATTGGAAAATAAAAAGACTTGGTATACAAGAGTAAGTTAAATAGCTGGAAATATAAATGTAAAAAATAACAGAAGATTGCTTAAGAACAGCAGTTAAAAACAGAAAAGTTATTCCCAGGCAGCCTCTGTAAGACAAAATAGAAAAGAAAGAAGAAGGAAAAAGGGATTTTTCAAAGTAGCTTCAACTTAGTGGGATCAAAGAAATTGGTTTAAACAGGGTCTGAAAGGGAACAAGGAATATTCTGAGCACAACTGCACACCTAACCCACACTACTTCACACAAACACCTGCCTTAAATCAAGTAATCTTAAATTGATCACGATTGAACAGCGTCTTTTTTCAGAACAAAATGTGAAAATGCTTCACTTCCTAAGGCAGCTCTGAAAGGGAGACAGAGCCCTACAAATATTGGTCATCCACATTCTGAGTCCTGCAGAGTGGGAACCACATAGCTACCTCACTCCTTGTCTCAGGTTGCCCTGTCATTTTTTTGCACATGCCCCAACTTTCAAAGTTTTCCACAGTTTTGACAAAGCCTGGAGGTGACTCACATGAAAAAAAAAAAAAAAATTAAGAAAAAAAGATTTTGAACTGAATCTGCGTGAAATAAAATAAACATTTCTCCCCACTCTGAAATAAAAAAGGCACAGTCTCCATCAAAAGAGCTCTCTATGTGTTAATCTGCAGTGAAGCCTCAGTGCCAGAGCTGGCACCCTTTGAAGTTAAAGGAAAAGCTCCTGCTGTCTTTATGATGCCAGATTCCTGACTGAATTGAAAAATAACAAAGTAATGGGCTTTCTAAGCTCCCAGCAGCTCTCAGAAGATCACTGTCTTACTCCAGTGATCATAGGAGATGCCAAGGGGACTGGGTTATGTGCCTCACACTGGCTGAGCTGACAACCAGAGCTGCCTAGAAGGGCTCCTGATTTTATTGTGAGTGATCTCAGAATGAACCTCAGCCAGGACAGAATGGCAGATTTGAGTAGAAGAATAGAGATCCACATCTCAAAATAAAATACTTGTCTTTTCTTTTGATGTCACCTATTCCACTTTTCCTATTTTTTTTTTCCTACTGATTCATGTTAGCTAGAATCAAAATTGAATTTTACGGCAGTTTTTCATGCTATTTTCATACTTTTCTTCTTTCTTTTCTCCTCCTGAAGGTAGAGGGAGAGAAAAAAATGGAAATTTGGAAAAAGAAAGGGACTTCAATAGAGATATAAATTAAAGTTTGAATCAATATTTTTTTTCAGTTGATGTTAAATTAACAGAATTTGACGTTTTCATATAAAACATAAAAAATATGAATGCAGCATTTTGATACTCTTTGATTTTATATTTTCTACTGCAGGAACTTCTTGATTAAGAATTTTCAGCCAACTTAAAGGCACAAGTATTAGAAGCCCCTGCAATCTGGCATCCTGAGCCATAATCTTTTGGAGTAGCAGAGAGAGATCTGTTTTGAGCAGCAGAGCATCCACGGTATAACATAGTAGTGAATGTAATACAAGCTAGGATAACACAGGGTAAGAGATTAATATTCTGCATCATACTGTGCTCTGTTATTTTTATCCTGCTGTTTCTTTCACTCACCATCTCATGACTCACACCCTCCCCACACTGGAATTTCCATCTCAGTCTCGTGGCTCACTGGTGTGTTACGGAAGACGATGCCGTGGAAAAGCCATCTGGAGAACACCGCTACTGCCAGGGCTCCAGGTCGCTCTTAAAAACAGACAGACATGACAACATTTACTGATTTATCACATAACTCCTCTGAATATTGCAATCTCTTTAGCAAACTGCCTTCACTAGCTGGGAGGGTTGAAGTTCTCCATGTTTTTACAGCTTTAGTGATGGCGCTGGATATTCGTCCAAGTCACCGTCCCACGGAAAGCTGACACTTGCACAAGCCTTTAGAAAAATTACAGGACTCATCCTGTGAGGTGATAAAAGGGCTCTTGTGAGGCAGGTGAATGTAATCCAATATCTGTAAAGGAGCTGTTCTGTACGCATTTCTCAGTTAACTTTATCACCTCAGGGACATGGTCCTCGATGCCCCACTAGACAGACCTTCAGTGCTTCCTGAGGCCAAGCCACAGTTACTTGATGTGGGCTGGGAAGGCCAGGTCAGAAGAGGAGTTAGATGTTTAAATCCTTACTAATTGCATATATAGCTACTGTGATCCAAAATGTAGAACATCTAAATCCCAGTTCAGTTTGCTGCTGTAGAATCCTGCAGTCGTGGTTTCTAACAGACTCAATTTCCCAAGTGCCTAGACTCTGGCCTCTGTTTAAATCCAGAGACAATATCACTAGTTATGAACCTAAATTCTACCACATCCCAGAAATCAGGGTGATCACAAGAAGCGTAATTGTTTTTTCTTACCTCCTAGATGAGTGTTAAGAGCCCCTGCTCAAGAATTGCAATTCCCTCTTTTATCTGTATCTGAACTTTCATCTCTACCTTCCTGAGGGCTATTTCTAACTAGTCACAAGCCAAGATCACAGAAAGTTCACTCTTTATATAAACAAGTAAACATTCCCTAGGCTAGAGGGAGAGTACTTCAATCAGCATTTGGACATCCTATCATCCTTCAAAAAAATATTCCTACCAGAAAATAGCTAGTCAATCTCAGGCTAGAAAGTCATGTTTTCTCCTCTTTTGCCCTGACACTTTGAAAAATGAACTCCACTGGAAGGAGTCAAAGAAGCCTTGTCCACAGAATATTACCAAAAAAGGCATTTGTGTGGGGAAAGGGGAATAAAATCCTAATTCAGGTACAGTAGCAAGATTCCTCTCATGTAGGTACTGAAGCAATGAGCTCTCCAAGGACCTTAGTGTGTATCCAGCCAAAGCAACCTTCCATTTTGCTGAGATAGATGGGAGTCAGCTTGGTTTTGGAGCAAGTTTAGCGCAAGGATCAGTCTTGCTCCACTGTGTTATTCCAGCTTTCACAAGAAAACATACCAAAGGATGTCAAACAGCCCTTTATCACAAGCTTTTAGATCCACTGGCCTCCTGCTTTCCTGCTCTGTCAAATCTGGCTCTACAGGTGACACTGGAAAACATAAAGCCTGTTTTATTTCCATGAATGTTTTGTTCTCCAGATTTGCCTTGGGGCAGACTTCCTACCCTGTCACCTCAACTCATGTCCTTCACATGGATTTCTGATGGTGACTCAGGACAGTCCAGGAGTCTTTTGTTGGTGAAAAAGCCTAATCCAGCAGAGACACTTTGTCTCCCTGACACCAGCTCAAGTCACCCGTCACATCCTCTGCCCTCTCTTCTTGTCCATTCCCAACATAACTGGCTGCCTGGAGGGGCGCAGATGTGCATGACGGAGAAGGAAGGCTGAAGGCTTGCACATCCATGCCACATTCAAATGTCAGGCCTTCCCTGAATCCAAAGGGCAGAAGCTTCCCTCAGTCCACCCTCAATCCAGAAACGTGACATCGACTCAACAGTCATGTCCTTCCTCTCAGACAATTCCCCCAGCTGGAGGATGATCAATGCAAGGACCCGAGGAGAGCCTGAGGAGGATGTGATTAGTGACCTGAAATGAAGCCTGTGCAAACTGCAGTAGAAGCTTCCACTAAAATCTCTTCCACTGGAGTCAGCACCTCAGGACAACAAATGCTGCTGCAGTTTGAAAGACGATTACCGAGAAAAAAAAATTAGAAAAAAAAAAAGCTATAGGGAATTGGAGCAGCCAGAGAAAATCTTGTTAGTGCAGCAGTGTCCTGCTGTGAGCTTTCTGTTCAGTAGGCAGGCTCCTTGGTACTACTGAGTGAAACAAGTTTTTGCTGTCTAACTATGAGCAGTCCTTTAGAGTGATGTTTTTCCTGAGCTGCAGTTTCTTGTCCCGAACCTTTCTTGGTCTGCTGCTGTTCTAAGTGGACTGTGTGAATTAGGTGGAACTCTTAAAATATTTTACTTTGTAGCTCTGTCTTATCACCTGAGAGGCACAAAAAGCCAGGAAAAGACACGCAGTATCTCTGAGGAAGGTGCCAAGAGGATGGTACTCTCTTTTCAGTGACGCCCTGGGACAAGATGAGGAGCAATGGCCATGAACTAATACACAAGAAGTTCCACCTCAACATGAGGAAGAACTTCTTTACACTGAGGCTGGCAGAGCACTGGAACAGCTGCCCAGGAAGGGCATGGTGTCTCCCTCTCTGGAGACATTCCAAACCCACCTGGGCACGGTCCTGTGTCACCTGCTCCAGGTGACGCTGCCTTGGCAGGGGGATTGGACTAGATCCTCTCCAGAGGTCCTTTCCAACCCTAAAAATTTAGCGATTCTGTGAAAGCAATTGCTCAGAACAGTCGGGAAACCACTTGTAAAGAGCAGCTTTCCATTCACAGGAGGTTGGTCTCTGCAATTCCTTCCACTCCTCCCCTTGAAACACGAGGAAAGGAAGATGCAGGGGCAGTTTTGTACTTTACTGGAATACAGGATAGAGAAAGCAAAGGACTTTCTCCATGAAATGTTTTCTTTGGAGGATGCTAGGTCCTCTGAAGATACATTTTTAATGGAAATATTCCTGATTCAATTGAGAGTTCTCTGGAAAGGCTTTCCTCAGTCAGATGGGAGAAAGGATCTTTACTACCTCTAGCAGACAGTAACTTGCAGTTCCTACAAGCTGGAGCAGGCTTGGAACACCTCTTTGGGACAGTTGTGTGTAGCTGTTGGGTCACAAGTGCACTGTGGGCTAAAAGAACATATCCTGGGTGGTGATTGTACAATCTTCTTCTTGACCAGCCTAAGCATGTTGCTAACTAAATGCAAAGAATGGTCTCGCTCAATGTAACTTCACAAGGTAACAGTGAACACTATCAAATGTGCAGCAGAAGACCACAACACAGAAATGAAAAGACAGGATTTCTGCATCTCGCCACATTTCCAGATGCAGGAACCAGGAGACCGAATGAAGCTTGGCCTACACTGTTTTTTGATACACGTTAGGCACTGGATGGGAGTGCCTGGGGGGGGGGAACGAGTGTAACAATAGAAATCCAACCTTTAGCAGAAAATCCCTTGGAATTTTAAAGGGCCAAGTTGGCAGTGTTCAGAGGAGGAACTCAAACCTGAGTGTCTAATGTTGATTCACACTGATGAGGTGTCCTGTCCTCCTCTCGTTTCACATGAAAAATCATATGGTTAGAGGTTATGGAGAAAGGAAAACAGATTACTGCGTGGGAATACAGTCTGCAGTGAACTTCAATGTGGGTTGTAAAGGACTTTGGTCAACTGGCTGTCAAATAGAGCAGCCCACAGGTTTTTTCTCACTACACTGAGCCTTCAGGAGGTTTCATCCATCTCTGGTACCCTGGGACATCAAGACCAACCCACTTCCTCACCCTGATCCATCAGGGAAGCTCTGCTTCTACAACTGTTGCTGTGTGTCCATCCCATCTTCTAGTTTGTATATTTACATCCTTTTGTCACTGTTAAACTACAAAGCCATGTGTGTACTATTCTCTTCTGAACTCATCCCATCTTAATCCTATGCCTGGGAAGTTTCATCCTTATCTGCTGGAGGATTTCCCATACTCACTTTAAACAAGATTTTTAATATGGATTCTAAAAAAAAAAAATAAAATTAGTATAATTTTCTATTAGTGAACCTCAGAAGAAGAGGTTGGGACCTAGAAGGTAAACTGAATACTATAATATATATAATCACTACAATTTCCATGGAGCAATGATCAAACCACGTAACATCTCTACACTGCATTCCTTGTAACTGCATCTTCATGGCAAATGAGTGTCTATCATTGGATATAAAAATCATCTGGCACTGAAAACAACAGAGAAGGATGTTAGTTCCTCACTCAGTGCATCACTGGAAAGCACTTAAAATTACTGATGCAAGATTAAAGCCTTAAAAATAAAACTGCATCATTAAAGAACAAGAATTTTGCCTTGAACATGAAGTGTCATCAGCTTGAAGACTAATACTATTTTTGGAACAAGAATTAATAGGAAAGGAATCTGCAAAACCCAAACAATCACTACTTAAAATTTCTGTGTGTCAGATATTTCTCCATCTTACTTATAATTTCTGTCCTAAGACTAAAGGTTCACAGTTTGCTTTTTCAAGACACAACAATTTTTGTACTTTCTAGTATTAACTGATTTATGCAACTTTTATAGTTCTTCTGTCCATGAATTAATTAGTTGCCAATCTCACTGTGTTTTAAGTAAGATCAGCACCAGATGGAGACCAGATTTGCTTATTAAAGGGTTTTATCAAAAAAGTAATTCAGCAAATATACGTCTGAAATCCAGTACTGATACTAAAAAGTCTGACAACCTTTCCTAAGAAACTGCCTAACGCTGTGGTACCTGGGTTCAGTTTTATTGACAGAGAACAGTATCCTCGCCTTGAACTGTGCTGTGTAAAATGTCTAAACTGAGCACTGAGCTCAGTCCTGACCCCTGTGAAGTCAGTGACACAACGCCAAGTGTCTTCCACTGCCTCGGGACTGTGACTATTGTTTTTAAGACAAGCACTTGGCAATTACCTAACCTGCACCCTTTGACTGCCATGGTAAGGGCTCAGTTAGCTCTTTCCTCTCCATACATGCAGGTTAATGACATCAGATACTTTCAGCACTATGAGAGCAATCACAAGGCATTTTTTAACTTCATTCTTGCTCTACCCAGGCTCTGTAAGTGCAGACTTTTTCCTCTGTGAACTGGGAGTGTAGAACAGGAGCACCTTCACATCAGAAAAATACAGGGTTTACTGAAACAATACCAACTCCCTTAATATAAAGTAGCATCAGGTCAGGTTTGCCTGTCAGCAAAGGCAAATTGAGTCTGGCAAGGCAGTGTTGAGTCTGACTGTGTAACTTCCCCAGGTGCTGTTGAAGCCTGTAGGAGGTGTTGCTCTGACTCATGGAGGCTGTCAGAACTAACAGGACAGCTTGATAAGACAGCCTTGCTAAAAACTCTGGTGATTGTACAGAGAACCAGGCCATTCACAAATTGAAAAGGAGAAAAAGATGTTTCAGTAGAGTCCCACCACCAAGGTGCACAGTTTTACTTTCACTGCAACAGCTGAACATCTCAGAAATAAGATCACTACACTCAGATTGGGTAATGGACACAGTCAGTGCCCAGTGGAGTCCCAAATCATTCACTGTGTTAAAGCACTCACAGCCTAGCTTGGCCTGCTACGAGCCACAGAAACAACTAGATCAATGCAACTAGATCCCAGCAGGTCATAACCTCCTTGTTCATGTTCAAAGGACAGTGAATGCATCAGTCATTTCCCAGAATCATAGAATGGGTCCCAAAATGGGTTGGAAGGGAACTTAAAAATCATCTCGTTCCAACCCCCTGCCATGGGCAGGGACACCTTCCACTAGCCCAGGTTGCTCAGAGCCCCATCCAACCTGGCCTTCAACACTTCCAGGGATGGGGCAGCCACAGCTTCTCTGGGAAACCTGTGCCAGGGCCTCACCACCCTCACAGGGAAGAATTTCTTCCTAATATCCAATCTAACCTATTCTCTGTCAGGTTGAAGCCATTGCCCCTTGTCCTGTCACTCCAGGCCCTTGTGAAAAGTCCCTCTTCATCTTCCTTGTGGGTTCCCTTCAGAAACTGGAAGGGGTTTGTTCCTGCAAAATCTGTCCCTGCTTAAAGGCTGAATGTCCACTGTCAGGCAGTGACACACTTGGTGAAATCATGGGAGAAGACCAGGCCAGGGTCCCTGGTAATCTTGTTTCAATGAATATTTACATTTTTTTGAAAGGTAGAAATGAGAAAGAGCAGCCTGCAAATGCCCAATTTTTTTACAGTAGTTGGGACAAAAGGAATTTTGACATCCTTCGAAGAAAGAGGAAAAAGCCAGAACAACACAGAGCAAACTGGCCAGTAAAACTTTCAGCTGCTTAATTTGTAAGAAAAAATCCTCACATGTATTACAGCGACCTAAATGTCTGTATATGTTTTAAAAAAGGGCTTGAGCACCTACAGGTATTTATAGATATGCTGTTTAGAAAGAAGCTAGCCCAAATTTAAATCTGAATCAGCCTGACACTTAGCACGGTGAATATTCAAGAGATCTGGCTGCCACCACTTCGGGTCAGTGCTCTAATTCTAACTGAAAAATCACCAATGTAGTCTCATTACCTGCAAAGTGAAGGCTTGTGTCCACTGTGCAAGGTGCAGTCAAAGCTACAAAGGTTACAGGGTGAATGTGGAGAAGAGAGTGAAGCTGAAAACATCATGTCATCTTTAATCAGTGCATCAGCCCATTCTGGGATCCAGCTTTAGGTCCTCAAGTTCAAAACAGAGAAGGCTTACAGGAGATGTGGGAATGATCCAGGGCCTTGATAAACTGAAAGTTGTTGGAAAGACTGAACTATTTTCCTTACAAAGAATACAAATAAGAAGAATCTAGTCAAAATATATGCTATATAGAGCGTGGTAAATCAGATAAACTGGGACTTTTTGTTCTCTGAAAAAAAAGCGATAAAAAGGCCAGGGACAGTGATATAAAAGGCAGAAAATTTATAAACAGGAAAAGAAATTACTTTTTTACACAAAACAGAATTAAGTTATGGAACTTAGTGAAATAGGTAATCATATAAAACCTAACTGGATTCCAAAGGGACAGGATACTTAAGGGAATATCCAGATTATAAACTACAGACAAAAAACCCCATGGAACAGATTGTTATTCCAGCTATTTTTTCAAATACTTAATACTAATCTGGCATGCTGTGACGCTATACAAGGTCTTTACACATCAGTCCATCACTTGTAACCCTCAGGTAAGTTTTCTTAAGGTAAATCCAAAAGTCTCATTTGCCTTAAATTCCTCTCATCTTCTGCAGCTCTATTTTCCCCAGATGAGGCATTATCTACTGACAGTGACACCCTGACTTATATAATGCCCTGTGGTGCCTTTCTAAAGAGCATAGAAACAGACTGAACCATAATTTAGGCTCCAAGCTGGTAGTGAATAATAATTGCCTCATTCCCATCCTTTTCCAGAATGATTTTTGTCACTAATTCAGAACATGGCTCAGATCAACCACTGCTCAATCCAGCCAGCAGTGGGAAAGTTTACTGAAAATGGCAGCAGTGCTGTTTGATCCTCTGTCTGCTGAAGCCAGATACAAAATTTCCATTTAATTCTAGAGTAGAACAGGTCTTCAGAGTCCAAACACATTTTGAATTGAGAAAGGGCGGAGCGGGAATCTCTCTGGCCCAGGTTCCATTCATAGAATAACAGAATGGTTTGGGCTGGAAGGGAACTTAAAAATCATCTCATTCCAACCCCCTGCCATGGGCAGGGACACCTTCCACCAGATCAAGTTGCTCAGAGCCCCATCCAACCTGGCCTTCAACACTTCCAGGGATGGGGCAGCCACGGTTTCTCTGTGCCAGGGCCTCCCCACCCTCACAGGGAAGAATTTCTTCCTGATATCCAATCTAACCCTACTCTCTGTCAGTCTGAAGCCATTGCCCCTTGTCCTGTCACTCCAGGCCCTTGGAAATAGTCTCTCTCCCTCTTCCTTGTGAGCTCCCTTCAGGTCCCTGGAAGGCTCCAGTTAGGTCACCCCAAAGCTTCTCTTCTCCAGGCTGAACAATCCCATCTCTTTCAGCCTTTCCTCACAGCAGAGCTGCTCCATCCCTCTGATGGTTCCTCCTCTGGACTCGCTCCAACAGCTCCATGTCCTTGCTGTGATGGACCCCCAGTGCTGGAGGCAGCACTGCAGGGGGGTCTCACCAGACTGGAGCTTACAGCTTCAGAAAAACTCTATCTCCAGTGTCTGGTCTTTCCCCTCAATTATTTGGGGATTTGCCTTTCCTTTTTTTCTCTTTTCTGTATTCTTTTTTCTTTTTTTTTTTTTCTGGAAAATATGCTTTTGTAAAATATTCCTTGCTTTTAGCCTGTGTGCTTATAGCATTATCTTAAAAAGCCACTAGGCAGATGGTTCCCAAATGTGAGTTAATAACTTGTAGGTGGCTTTTGGGGAAGCTTTTTGAAATCCCTTCATGCAAAATGATTTCACAAACTGCCTGCATGCCATTCTTTGGCTATTTGGGCAGACTATTTCAAAATGGCCAGGAGAAAAATGGCAGATTATTTTTTATTTGTTTTGAAGCAGACTGTTATGTTTATTTTGCAGTGGTAAAAGAATATAAAGGGAAAACAAACACAAAGCTTCCACTGAAGATTCTTCTAGACCCTGGAAGTCCTGACTGGCTTCAAGGTGAGCATGTTTGGGCCTCTGCCCCTCTTTTGCAGCCCTTCTACAGCATTTCTTTCAAAATAAGGTTGATTTTTACAGAGTAGCACAGGCTGAGTATTCAACAATCACGAGTGAGACTTCACGGCATCACACGATTAATTTAAAAATCAGATTTCAAATATGGGGCTCTTGCTGTTCACCACTGGTCTGCTAAAAATACTGTATGTTTTGCATGGTTTAGAGTCAAAAGTATTGATAGTGTCTGGTCAGGCAAGCATCACCATTTTTTAACAGATTCCATCACCCTCTTTTAAGAGATTTCACCACCATTTTTGAACTGATTTCACAAAAAATCCATCACCACACCGA